GAGAGAGGCACGAGCTGAGGGTCAGCGAGGGCAGAGGGAACGAGACAGAGGGCGGCGGATCTGAGCACCTGCGTGTGTTGCAACAACACAACAATCTGTTAGCTAATGCAGGTGTTTTTATGACCTGATTTTGCCCTGAAAGTGTGTGTATGTGTGTATGCATGTGTGTGTTTAAGCAAGGTCAGCTCGGGTCAGTTGGGCTCGTGTCCTAAGAGTGTTGTTTTGATCAAAGTCCACGCCTGGACTGCAGAGAAACCCAGAGACCTCAGACTTTCTCTCTCTGTCTGTCTCTTGCTCTCACACACACCCACATTCAGATTCAGCCTTGCGTTGACCATAATTAAATACAGTATTGCCAAAGCTTGTTGTATGTAGTGTTAAGTATAATGATTCAGAAAGTTAAAAGAAAAGATACAAATCCACATAACTGTGCTGTTCACCAATGGTGGCTGAAGCTTGTTTTCCTCATCTCTCCATGCATGCTATTTTTTGTTTCTTTGTTTAAAAAAAAAAAAAAAAAAAAATCATCTCCCTTTAGATATTAGTCTGATTACACTCCTCTAATTCCTGGACAATTTGAACGCACATTTGCTACAAACACAAATGAGAAGCAGTCAGAACTCACAGGTTTCAAAATGTTAAGAATTTCAGGAAGGAATGAAACAATCAGCAGTTCAATAAAGGAAATATTTGTGAGTATTAGTCATTCAATGGAGAAAATAATACTGCGTGTACTCTGTACTTTACTGTGTATAAGTTATAAAACTACAGTCTGAAAGCTTTTACTGTTAAATGACAGTAAAGTGCCAGTAACGGGCCTCGGCAGCATTAAGCTGTTGTTTTTACAGCATGGTGTCATAGATTACAGCAACAGTTTCTTTCTGTAAATGTACAAAATAGTGCGGTTATGTCAGTGTACTCACTCTGATCTCTATAAACAGCCCTGCCTCTGCTGTACACAGGAGGAGTAGTGAGGTTGTTTTTAACACTTTAACAAAGTGAGCGTGAGTGCTGGCAGGATACTATCAATTACCGTAGGACTCTTGAAAACGGTTTGTACCTATGCAAACACTGGAAACGGCATCTCACCTCTACAACTTCTAACCCCAAATAATCAAACTTATTTTAAATATTCAGTTTTATCTTTATTTTAAACTATCCACTACGTGTTGTTCGTTGCCTCATCGGCACTTGGCTATTCATTGGGACAAAGGATTTTGACAGACCCACAGTGCTTATATGATTACTAAAAATGTGATGCATATTTTTGGAGGCTGCTGTCACTAGGCGAAATCAGTCACACAGACGGGTGCTATACAAAAAAACTCTTTCTGACTGCTTTGATCGCTAGCAGATTGCCACAGTCGCCTGTGGTTCACACTAAAGACACTAGCTTGTCTGCAAAAATATTAACTCTCTGAGCTGTAGTTTATCACTGCTTGGAGAGTAGTTTGCAAATGTTGCACAAAAGTCTTCCATATAAACTACGGGCAGGTTTTCAGGCAGCACCTCTTTGTGACGAGTTTAATGTTGGCAACCTCCAGCAACCACACACCAACTGGTTGCATAATATACACACAACCAGTGGCTGCTGGGCAGCTGTCAGCTGTTCTTTAGGCTTTTGTGACTAAGGTGTTATTTGGCAAAGATGTTTAAAACCCTCCGATATTGGAGCGATAACCCCAACAATCAGGTGACACCCTTATGAGCAAATACATGACAACCCCATGCACAACCAGGCTCAGACAGGAACAGCTATACGCTTAATCAAAAGGCAAGTTTTTAAGTTAGTCTTAAAAATAGACGGTCTCCCAGTCTAATGTAGGAGCTGGTTCCATAGGAGAGAGGCAGGAATCACCAGACACCTCACCATACGATGTTATTACAATGCTTAACTCACGATACAATTTTTTGCGGCCTTGAATGTTTTGCAACATGTTGAGTATTGTAATAACATATTGTATATTTTGATTTATCACCTTTTTTCAAAGTTAGAGTCGCAGAGTGAGATTGTCGAGGATACCTACACCATCACTAAAACCTGCCATAAATGTCACCATCAGACAGTTTCAACAACTTCAGTCTCAACAGGGTCGAGCTGGCAGTTGCATGCCGTCTGTTTGAATTAGCGTGATTTTTGATGAGGAATACAGCCTCTCGACTTGTGCATGAGATAAGCCCCCTTGTTCGTAGTATTCCCAGAATATTTACATTTTTTTTTTTTAAATAGAATATGAAAATTTAGTGCCCCTGTATTGCTACAATAGAACAAAATATCACAATACTATGCTGTATCAAACCTGCCCACCTCTCAACCCGACCCACTCCTGTTGAAAGCTGGCTCTGCCTGCCATTGTATGTTTAGAAATGTGAGAGTAAGTAAGCCTGCAGTCTGAGAGCAAAGTGCTCTGTTAGGGTAATTTGATACTAAAATATATATCAGATATGAAGGGGCCTGATCATTTAGGACTTGGTGTGTAAGGAGGAGGATTTTAAATTTGATTCTGGATCTAACAGGCGCCAGTTAAGAGAAAGTCCTGTCAGTTCTCTCACTGCAGTGTTTTAGATCAGCCGAAGGCTTTTCAGGGAGCTTAAAGACGGCCTTGTTCATAGCAGAATTCCAGGGTGTGCTACACCTTTTGTTTTTTTTGGTTGTAATTTGGTTGCATCAGGTTGTTGTTTCTTCTTTTCTTATCCGTGTATCCCTGCCTTTCCGTCAGTCCATCCCTCCCTCCCTCCCCATGGCTAGCAAACAGAGGGGCAGCATTCCAGCAGTGCCCCCTGTCAAAGCATCTGTATTGTGGCATGCTGCTCACATTGTTGTGTCAGACAAAGGCTCGCTCTCAGTGGAATAACCCAGCTGGACGGCGGCCATCGCCACGGGTCATTCGGGGCCGCTGGGCCGCACCACAACAGCCGACCTGACAGCCCGACCCAGCAATGATAGCAGGGCAGGAAACAAACATTTTATTTGTGTGTGTGTGTGTGTGTGTGTGTGTGTGTGTGTGTGTGTGTGTGTGTCGTGTGTGTGTGTGTGTGTGTGTGTGTTGTGTGGTGTAGCTGGCAAACACACACACAGAATCCAAAGTTCATCGGCCACGCACACTTATTACCAGACAAACAGATTTTATTATACAACGAGGAGTTCAAGCCAAGCCCCCCCCTCCTCCGACAGAGATGTCTCACATCTGTGCTGCTTCTCTCAGGCGGTGATCTGTGACCGTGCAACTGCTGTAGTTCTACTTTCTTCTTCTGTGATTGTAAACCTGCGGCTTGTGTCATTAATCGTGCCCTTTTTAAGATTACCAAACTGTTGGGCAACCTCTAAGCGTGGTGATAACCATTCCTGAACTGGCAGAAGAGGGTCGAGTGTTTTTGCAACCCCTGCAGTGTCTTCCAGCGCACGACCCCTCAGAAGCCACCAGAACCCCCACCTTTTCAGGATTTGGAGAAATGTTTGGGGGGGCTGAGCCCAAAGCCAGACAGGGTCTGGTTCCAGTCAAAATTGGCACCGCTAGCCTTCAAAATGTCCAAAAAGATCATATCGACAGCCGCCCTCTTCCAATCAGTGAACCACACACATTCCTGGTTTCTGTGTGTGTGCTGTGATAATGTGTAATAGTTTTTCTATTAGCCCGTGGTCTCATTATAATTGTTCTAATTTTCCAGCTTGCTTTTTTTGTTTGTAAAAACAGCAGTGAAAATTCTTGTGACGCTTTAAAGTTTTTTTTTTTTTGTTTTTTTTAAGTGCTTACTGTCTTATATTTAACCGTCTGGAGTAGAGCAGGGCGATATGGCCAAAAATATTTATAACGATATATATTTGAAAATGCAAATACAAGATGTAAATTTCTAAACTTTGTGTACACACAGGACACATCACAGGGCTTACAGCTGGCATTTTAAAATTGTTTATCATAACTCTGGTTTTACTTGTCTTTACTCAGCCTGTCAACACAATTTAAAAAACGGAATTTATTCGCGAGCCAGCGTTCTGCGCGTTACATCGTCTTAAATCGGTCATGTGATTTGGTCGCGGCAGCACGTGTGTCAACACTACAAGGTTAAACAAAAGTTCCACATCCAGAGATATTCACTTCAACATATGACAGCATTTTCTCACACAATAAACTTTTACTCGGGAAGTATAGCCAGGGAATTTAACAGTTGCCAAAGTATGGCAGGGAAAACCACCCTGGCTCTTGTTTTGAAAGTCTAGTGTTTTCTTATGGGCTGATTTGCTGGGCAGGCTGCTGTTGTGGCGGTCCACGGGACGTACCTCTTCTGCACAGCAGCTTCTCATTCTGCTCTGGATCCTCTGCGAGGATCGCTGAGGGCTCCAACCTGCAATCCAGTCCTCCATGGAGAGGCAGCTGAAAAGTCACAAAGTATTTTGCATATTAGATACTTGGAGAGGAGAAAGTTACAATTAATAATTACAGCAAACGTCCTTTTGCCTCTTCTAGGTGGAGCTTACTTTCAGTTGTGTAGAGACAGAAAGGAAAGTCGTTCCTCTTGTTGTTCAGCTGCTCCCGCAAACTAGAAAACCTTTACTATAAGAAGAAGGAACAAGTCAGTCAAATAATAAGTAAAAAATATATGAATGAATACCAATTACAAGTATCTGGCACTGATACTGTCATGTTTTCCTGACCTAACTAGCTACCCCGGTGCCCATGCTTAGTAAACCTGTGCTGTTGTGTCTTACTGACACTCCACACCTCACAGGTTTATGCCTTTAACGACGCGTAATCTCAACCTGTTTGTTCATTTGGAGGCTGATGATAGCTTCATGTAAATTCTTGAAGTTGTTGGTTTTTGTCTTGATTTTTTGAAAAGGAAAAAAAAATACATTCTTCCCAAACTCCCAAACAGATTGTTCTTTTTTGTATTTGGCTGCCTGTGGTCAGTGTCATGTTGTCGCTAGTTTGTTGTTTTTGTGTTTGTCTTCATGTTTTCACTAATGCGCTTTTTCCCCCCCCCCTCTCTCTGTGTCTCAGACTGAGCGACGGAGGTTCATCGCACGCCGCAGCCCCCCCTCCTCTTCATCCTCATCTCTCTGCTCACGGCACTTGACTCAGCCTGTGACCTTTGGCCTCCAACGCCGGTGCCCTCTGACCTTCACTGAGACTGAGAAGCTGCTCCCTTCTGATCGCAGACAAAATGTCAAAAACAAACACAAAAAACCGCTTGCAGTTTTAAAAAAAAGTGTTTTTCATTTTTTGTTTTTCCTCTGTTTTATATGCATATCGTCCCTTTTTTTTTTCTTTCTTTCTTCTTCTTCTTCTTCTTCTTCTTTATTTTTTTTAAATTAACAAATAATCCTCCCTCTCTTGACCGACGCTGCCAGCGTGCGCTGCTTCCCCGCCCCCTCTCAGAGACAGTTGGGCTCGTACTTATTCAACAAACAGAGGGTGAACTTTGGCTGAGGGGCGTCCTTGCATCTGCACAGAGCCTTTTTATCAGATGGTTCTGCTTCTCCATATAGTATTAAAAAAGAAAAAAGGGAAAATGAAATTCAAAGGCATTACGGCACAGACTTGGATTTTTTTTATGTTGATTTGAATTTAAATAGTCATCATTTATTATTATTATTATTATTATTACTATTATTATTCTAATTTCTTTAACCCCTTGTGTAATCCATCCTGAATGCCGTACAGTTATTACATATTGGATAAAGTGTTTATTTTTTTAATTCCTTAACCCCCTTTAATGGTACAAGCTCGCGGCTGGGCCCGTTTCAGTTTCAGAGTGGCATTGTACGAGTATCGCGTTTGATCCCAGGTACGACGCAGTACCGGCACCCTTTGGATCATCATGTAGCAGGGCGCTTGCGCCTCAGCGACACGTTAGCACCCATTGCCTGAGCGGGCCTGCTCTAAAGGGCTAAAATCAGCTGCAGTACTGCGCCAGTGTGGGTTTGTCAGAGTACCAATGCAACCTTAAAGCATTACTCCTCATGTTATATAGTGCTGATTATTTATATGTTAATGCAGGTACAAATGTTTCGGTACATTTCACTTTGTTTGTTCTTCTGACTGATGGTACTCAGCAGGGCGGGGAATTGTTATGGCCACTGGTCGAACACTGCAACATTTTCGGTGTCATTTACAATCCACTCATTAGAAGTTTGATAATCTTAAAAGTGAAGCTACAGCTAGCAGTCGGTTAGCAAAGAGTAGCATAGAAAGTCAGAACAGGAGCCAACAGGTGTTCAAAAGTAATTTTACACAAAGTCCAGTTAAAAGAAATTGTGTTCTGCTCAAACTTTAAATTTTAAACCCAATTTCTATCCATTTAATGCTGGCTAGGTGTTTAAATATTGCACTACAGAGCACAGAAAGTCACTAAAATAGCAGTTCTTTTGTTTTACTTGCACAAAAATGAAAATGTATATCACTAAAAGGCAAAAAACTACACCTAAAAATATAAAAGTATTGTTAATATGAGCAAGGCCACAAATAAAGATACAGAGATACAACAGTACATGCCATCTTGTTAAAGTGGGCCTGTTATGCTAATTTCTGTTTCAGTGTTTTGGTTAATTGGATTCTACTAGAGCCACTTAGCAATAATCCTTATTACATCATCCTGTTTGAAACAACCCATTTTAGCTCCCTTTAAACCAACTTTTTCCTGATGGATGCCCTTCAGCAGATAGACGGGACTCCTGTGCCTGAAATGACTGTATACGAGATGTCTTCTCTCTGTGACATCAAAGAGAGCTAAAAGTAGAAAAAAGCCATTTTAGTTTGATTTAAGTAACTTCTGATTGGGTGCCCCTCTAATAGGTTTAAGAAGCAATTAAGTGGGGCTTTTGTCTGGTTTCCATGGCATCATGGAGAGCCAAAAGTGGGAAAAAAGTGTCTGAAACCAGGCGTTTGGAGCAGTCTGAAGCCCGAGCTTTTGACTTTCAAAGAGCTGCATACACACAGGATAGAAACCTTGTTCCATTTAAAATAAGCATTCATCCTCATAACTGTGTGCATATGTGACAGAAAATAAGAGAAAGCATAACAGATCAACTTTGACACATTAAACCAAATTGTAAAAGCAGCTTTAGGCCATTATGTCATGACTGTTCCTTAAAGAATATATAATCGGTTTAAACACAGGCTTTATCTATGTGGATAGGTCTGCTACTTTTTTTGGGTCTTTATGCTAAGCTAAGCTAACCAGCTGCCTTCACAGATATCTGGGTGTTGTTAATGAACTCTCAGCAAGAAAATCTGATTTTGTGGTTAAAAAAACTCGGCTGAAAAAAAACAAAACGACAACAAAAAAACGGGTTTGTTGTTTTTGTTTGTTTGTTTGTTTTCTTCCCCGCCCTGCTGTTTCACTTGGTTCATCTTCCTCAGTTTTCTGCACAAATAACTGTTGAGTAGATCCAAGTAGTTGGTGTTTGTTTGTTTCATTCAGTTTTACCTCATGCGGTCCGTAGCACAGTTCAGATTAGCGAGGGAGAGTGGCGCCAAAGCAAACGCAGACAAACGCTGTGAAAGGTAAAAAGCACAAAGTACAGTATTGACACACTGAGATGCAAACACAGGAATAATGCACACACACACACGAAATGCAAGTGAACCATTTACTGTACTTTGTGAGCAGTGGCATGTACATACACACGCAAACCCGTACGTCAATAAGACGCATATCTCGGTCATGTGCCCCCCTCCACACACATTCCCTCATATTGCATACAGGCACAGAGGAGTCATGCAGCCCTTTTTAGTCGAGGGTACCTCCTGCGCGTCTCCGTTTCGGCCCTTTGTGAGCGGCTCTTGATGACGTGCGGGATTTTTCTCGCACATATGAATGCTGGGGTGTTCGTCAGCGGCTCCGCGTGACGTAAAGAGGTTTCCAGTAACCGGAGCTCCAGCCCCAGGTGCAGCGCACTGGACATACTTGCCCTGTGACACCCCAACCCACACACAGTTATAGTGGCGCACAAATTGCCTCCTCTTTTTGTTTTGGCACCTTCACACACTAATACGCGCGTATTTAGCATTTATAGTCGCGCTGCTCTCCCACGATGTGCTTAAACTCAAAGACTGACAGCTAGACTGGTCCACAGAATTTCAGTGATTTCTTTCAGTATTTAATGCAATCATCCTGATTTAGTTTTGTTTTTTCTTCTTATGATTTTTTTTTCTTTTTTGTTACCCCACCTTTCCTGATGTTTTGGAATTTGCTTGTTTAACGATGCATCATCACTGTTATCCAAGCAGAGCCAGGAGCGAGGGAAGGCGTGTTTGACTTTGGTTTTGAAAGCAGCCTCGACAAGTTTAACTGAATAATCTTTGCTCCAATTTGCTCTCATTGTCCTGATACCTGATGCTGACTTGTAGCTGTTTGACCATGCAGACTGTGGAAGCTTCTTCTCAAAGATAAAAACCTGTGCAGGTCCCATAAAAAAGCTGCTTGCTTTGTTCAGTGAAGTTCTGAAGGGTTTTGTTTCTTAAGCCTTGTTGTAGTCGTCACTAATATCATTTTTTTTTTAAAAATGCATTCTAGTTGATCTTGTTTCACTGAAGGAGTTGTGGTTAAACTTACTTTTCCTCTCATCTATTTAAATGCAGTGAAATTCTGAATGGATATCAGTGTTTAAAATAATTTAAGGTAATAGGGGTGTGTGAAAATATCAACGAATTTTAAATGATTTCTTTGCAAACAGGGATAAACACAGAAAAACGTGTTTCATTAAATGTAAACTTATTAGGCGATAGGTCTGGATCAGTCAGTACAGCTGGTGTAAAGCAGCATTACATCTCTCCTACTTCAAGCCTGTTTCTGCTAGTTTCTAGCTGCACATCTTTTAGTCTATTAGAGTAGCTTAGCATGATTCACAGATCAAAATAACAAGCCTTGGTGGAGCCCCTAATTTCATCCACTGTCTGACACAACTAGCTTTTGTGTGATTGGCTGCCCATCGTGAGCAACTGGATAGGGCTTCTGGTCTGAGATGGCTGTATTCGGCTTCTCTACTCAGTGACATCACACAGACCCAAGACTAGAGATGCTGGTTTGCAACGGAGCGTTCCGAGCCGTGTGAAGCTGGCACTGATCTCAATATTTGGAAGTTTGTCGGTGTTCAGTACAAACGAGACAGAGGTCCACTTTAACACGCTCTTTCTGCTATGCTACGTTTCCATTTACACGCAGATAGAAGTGGCCAAAGATGAAGCGAGTCTTCCACAGTCTGCAAGGATCCTTCATAGCATAGAATCAGGAGGATTCAACTTCCTAACATCCTGCAATTAGCAAACGTGTCTCGATTAGCACAAACATTTAAAAAACCGTGGCCACGCTTTCCCACCACCCCCGGCTCTGTTTTCAGACTCGTGCAATGATGATGACAGACCCCTGAAAATGAGCACGGTCGGTTTTTCTTTTTTAAACGTGACGTGTCTTATGTGAATTTAAGCGATTTTCTTCGCACCCCCGACCTCCCCCACCCCATCTTCTCTTTTTGAGTGAACAAAGAGTTAAATCAGTGGCCCGTTGAGACAAATGAGAATTTCTTTTCCTTTTTTGGATGTTTATTTTTCTTTTTTGTGTACTTTGCTACAGCAATGTGTTGCTTTTGGGGTTTTCATGCTAAATGGTAGAGCTAGTTTTTTTTCTTTCCCCCACATAATTTATTTGAAAATTGTACACGTCAGATTTGATCCTCTGTTTATTTCTTTGTTATAACTGAATTCATTCACACAGAATCTGTGATTATTTTGGCAACAATTCAACCTCAAAACTGTCCTGTTTTCATGTTTAGGGTGGAGAATTAAGAAAGAAATAAGGCCTACATTATACATATATATCTATATATATATAATCCTGACAGAGAAGACTTAGGGTACGGCATCATTATGCAAACTTCTGTTTTTCCTCTAATCCTTTGATTTATTTTATATTCTAGTTTACAGAGGGAAGAATTCATCTTATTCCTGGTTGTTTTGTCTCGTCGGAGAGGCTTCTCTGAATACAAAGCGACACAAGGATAGAGGTTTTTTGTTTTTTGTTAAGAGTACATAGGCATTTTTTGCAGTTATTTGTATAAAGAAATTGGTTACAACCTGCCTAATGTTTATTTTTTTGTAACTATATCACAGTTCTTTTGGGGTTTTTTTGCTGCTGTGTAGTACAGTTATAACAATTGAAAATGCTGTCAGTGGCGAACTAAGAAGACGAAGGTGTGGGTCAGGAAAAATCCCACTCTCACCCCCGCTACCTGTGTTCTTATTTTATTTTTTCCAAGTTGAATGCTGTTGTTCATTAGCTTTACAGGAAAGAGTTCAAAAACAATACTGTGGAGGTGTGTATCCTTCGTACGTGCATTATTTTTCAGCGTCCTGTATGCGAAAGAGTGTGTGTGTGTGTGTGTGTGTGTGTGTGTGTGTGTGTGTGTGTGTGTGTGTGTGAGTGAAGAGAGCTTAAAATTTAGAGAGAAAGAGAGAACTGGTGGGAATCCTCCTTGTGTAAATAAGGAAAACTTGAGTTGTTGCTTTTTTTTTCATGTTATGATTGGCGCCTGGCAGGTGCCCCGCCCCCTCGCCCATTTTTTTTTTTTTTAACTTCCTTTTCTCCTTGTCTCTTTTGTTTCCTCGTGGAGAGAAAAGGGGGGTCGGAGGGGGTACGCGGAGGCGATTTGAGCATCGGCATAGTGTTTATATTTATCAGAACTTTTTTGCTTTCGATAGAGCTATTGCAATAAAAATGTGTTCATGTAGCTGCCCTGGTCTCGGCCGTCTTCCTTCCTCTCTTTATTTTGTTTAAATTTTTTTTCGTCGGTTGAGTGTTTCTTTGCAGATCTGTGTTTGTCTTACGTTACACAACAGTTCAGTTTCTAAACACAAACAGGACTTTGACGTCACTAAAGACCCAAATAAATGTATCTGTTTTTGTCTGGCTTTGCTCAGCACACTGATGCACGTGATTCTCAAATATGCTGCGACACACCCACCCGGAGGAGCCAATGAAGTGTGAGCTAAATCATTTCAACCATCTGATGAAGGAAATATTTTTTCTTTCTTCCTCTGGGCACAATGAAAGGCCACGAGGTTGAGAAATTCCCTGATAACTCTGGAGTCTGATAAAAACCTCTTTGAGAACCTCTGTGATTATGTCTAAAAGAATGCACCGGTGACGTCAGCAAGCGGGATTACGATAAGTCCTCTTGTCTTTAATAACCTCCTGACCCCCAAAGGGGGGCCAAATTTCCAAACTCATTTAGAGGAAATGTAAGCAGCACACACTGGGACCACCTATGCTCACGCTGACTCTTTTTAAATCATTGTTTGCAAACAAGAAATTGATTCAACTGTCATATTTTAAAAGGCATTTAATCCTTTGTGTGTCAGGGTTAGGCTTCTTTTATTATTGGGAGATTCCAGGATAAGTCGCATCATTCAGTTCAATGTAATTTTATTAACACGGCGCATAAATCATAACAACAGCCGCCTCAGAGCACTACAAGATCCTACAATAATACAAAGAAAACAGAAAACCCCAACAATCATATGACTCCCTATGAGCAAAGTTCTTTGGGGAAGTGGGAAACAAAAACTCCCTTTTAACAGGAAGAAACCTCCAGAAGAACAAGGCTCAGGGAGGGTGGCCATCTGCCATGACTGATTTGGGGTTAGGAGAGTCATACGGGACAAAAGACAAAAAGATTGATAATAACAATTAAAACATTGTGAGTGGAAAAAAAAGGTAACTGACGGGGGAAACTCATTCATCATGGGCATAGTGGCCTAGATAGTAAACTACTGCTGTATGTGTAGCATGTCTGGGTTGACACTTGGGCTGCCACAATGTCTGCGTTGTGCTGTGCAGTGTCAATGAAGAAATGAGCAGGTCCTCTAACATACTGATAAGCCGTCTGCTGTTACAACAAATTTCATCAAGTTTCAGAAATGCAGAGAAATACTTAAAAAACAAACTTAATTCGATTCAGTTTTATTTATATAGCGCCAAATCACAACAGTTGCCTCCAGGAGCTTTGTATTGTAAGACAAAGACCCTATAATAATATAAGGAAAACAAAGAAAACCCCAATAATCATATTAACCCACTCCCACCCCATGAGCAAGTGCCCTCATAACTAAGGGAGGATTCAGGGTCACCTGATCCACTATTTGCTTTAGCATAAAGGTAAGTTTTAATCCTAATTTTAAAAGTAGAGATAGTGTCTGTCTCCTGAATCCAAACTGGAAGCTGGTTCCACAGAAGAGGGGCCTGAAAACTGAAAAAATACTCTAGAAACAACAAGTAGGCCTGCAGTGGGAGGTATAATGCCTCCCACAAGCTGACCCCCCCACCAGACAGTAACTTCAGTGTGTTAAATGAAAGCATGCTTAAATGTGATGAGAGACAAGTGTCAGTAACTGACTGTTCCCTTTTTTTGTAAAGTAAATTATAGGGACATGCCATCTCCTGCCAAAATAAAACCGAACAGGCTACGAAACTGCAATCGGTCCCAAGACCTGGTAAATGGGCTGGTTCTTATGAAGGGTGGGTCTACTCTACTGGAGCAGTCAAACCGCTTTATACAGATTGCCTCATTCACACAGGCACTTTTTCCCTTGTCTTGCCTAGGAATACTTTGGCATGCAGACTGGAGCAGCTAGGGATTGAATCACCAACCTTCCAATTAGTAGATTACCTGCTTTACTTCCTGAGCTGTATAATCCAGACCCTGGAAGGGAGTAGGAAAATTTCTTCATGAACCAAACTTATTTGATCAGTGTGCTACATCTAAACTAACATGTGGACACGGACACCAATGTTATTTGTTCACTTCATTTCTTTTTTTGCTGATCCGAAAATTGATCCGATCCAAACCGTGAGAATTTTGATCCGTGGCACCACTACCAGACAGTAAAGCTAGTTCTCAGCTACGAGCCCGACATGGAACACGACATATTAGCCAGAGGCTCCTACGGCTCGGAGCCGCAGAGCTGGCCGAGGTAACAAGAGAATACAAATAAAAAGAAAACAATTTTCGCTAGCAGTCAAAAACTAATGTGTACTCTCACCTCTGCATTTTTATTTCCTAAATACAAATGAAATTATAGCAAAAGTGGTGCTACGTGTCTGGCCAGAAAGAGCGGACCAATGTGTTTATATGGTAGTTCAATGCAAGGCTTCAGTTAGTTAAGAATGAGAAAAAATTGCGTTCACGTTTGCAGTTTTGTGTTGTTATGCAATATTTGAAATTTTAAAAAATAAGCAAACAAAACACAACATTTTAGGAAATATTAGTGGGTGTTTTCTGGTTTGTTTTTTGTACTACTTGAACACTAAAGTGGCCCTCCAATGAGATGACGGTGTCAGCAGTGGCCTGCGGCTCATTTGAGTTTGAGACCCCTGGTGTCAATCTCAGTGAATGCAGCTTGCAACATTAATAAAAGTTAATATTTCAAGCAGGAATATATATTTGAGTCAACAATAAGAAAGTTGTACGCAGTATTTTTCTGTAGGTATTAAGCGAAATAATTCAAACCATCATAGAGCAGATATGTACATTTCTACTGTGAGCGTAACTTCCACGGTACCCCTGTTAGGCAGTGTGGAAAAAAACTGGCCTGTGGCTGAACCTGGTTACTGACCCCTGCAATGTGTGCTCTGCAGTTCCTTTATCTTCCCTAACCAACTTTTCACGTTTACTCAAAGCACTTCCCAAACTTTACAGGATGGTTAATTTGTCACAAACATACCAAAAACCCTGCAAGCAGCTGGCAACCTTTTAAACAGTTCAAGACTTACAATCATTTGTACCTTTTTTGTGTGTAGAATGAGCTTTGGTTAATCTCAGTCATCGCCCACATGGTCTTTTGGTAATATGGTGATATAATTGTTTTAGTGTCCTGCCATAAACTCAAATCTCTCTGTCTTTATTGTTGGGGAATGCAGATTAAACCTTGTCATAAAATAGTTGCTGATTGTGTTTTGAATGAATGAATGCATACACACATTCATGCTGTTATTGAGCCATGTGACTGCAGAGGTGTTGTTTTTCTCACCGCAGCGTACAGCTCCATAATCATTGACCCTTCACCCCATTAAACTCTGTTTTAAAAAGATAGGTGTCAACAAGAAAACAAGCGTCTGTTTCCTCATTCCTGAAGCTTTTGTTGCAGATGAGAGGTTTTCAAAGGATGACAAGCGCTTTTTTCAAACTGAGCTGTCCGCCCCAACAACACAAAGTCCAACTGTCAAAACAAACCAAAGTCCACTTTGGTCATAAGGTTTGGTCAGCTGAGTTTTGATCCACTGGTTTACGTTTTGTAAGTCAATTAGCTAACGAAGATGAATTCTTTTGAATGGCACTGACTCATTAGGAATCAAATTAGGGAAAAAGAATATTGTTTATATGTCTGACAAAGCCTTTTAGGATACCAAGATGACAACAATTACTTTTGTAATAAAAGACCACTTTTGTAGCAGAAGTGTAGCTAGAAGGGTATCTGGGGTGCTACTGCCCTTCCTGAAATTAGTTTTCATTCGTT